CTCGAGAAAACGTTACGATTAAAAATGGAAGGAAGCAGGAAAATAAACGTACTGTCCAGTGTTGTCGAGTGCTCCAAGGGTCCATAGCTGATACATGGAATTAAGCATGTTATCCTGTGGTGGCGCATCCATAAAGTGAAACTTGAGCAGATCGTCAACACCAAGAGACTTCAAAAGCAGCACGACGTTCGAGAGATTTGTTCGTTGAATTTCAGGGACTGTCGAGACCTAAGTGTATCGTACCTCGAGAAAAACAAACAACTGATCGATAGGATGTCGAAAATCTTGAGGAATATTCACTTCAGGAGCACAGACTAGCACAACTCACGAGCATCTCCTCCTTGAACTGCCGCTCCGTGTAGAGACGGAAACATTGTCCTGGACCTGTTCGACCAGCACGACCAGCTCTTTGATTTGCAGACGCTTGAGACACGGGGAAAATCTAAAATATAGTCATGAGGATTTTGAAAGGTTTGTCCCCAGCTTGCTTTTGGGATATGAGTGTAACAAGAAGCATGAAAAAACGGCTTAAACTTCAACACTAAGAAACTCAGAAAATCCAAAATAGGCGCTATTACAAAACGTGGGGGTTTGTCAAGAAACAAGTCTAAGAGAGGGCAGTAACTTCGGGGGGGGGGAATGAAAATTGCTCCCGCACCCTGGAATCTCTCCAGCCCTTCCTGAGGTTTAGCTTGCTTTCTACCAAAAGGGGATCTTTCACGCTAATTCAAATGCAGTGTCACTACAACCCAGTATATAGCGATATTCCTTAGAGTCCTTTCGAAAGCTTTGCCACTTATAGCCATAGTTCCATGCCCGTTAGGTTTTGAGCGCAAAATACTATGAACTAGCTATTTAACCAGTTTTCTGAAACTTCGCAAAAATTGCCTATTTCGATGTTTCATGCGAGATTTCCCTACGCTTTCGTTTCCCTACGTAAAGTCCTGCAATCAAAAATGAACAAGTTTTCCTAGCTACTACAACCCTTTGGATAGTGCGGGTCAGCAACGATGGCCAAGTCATATCAAATCAATAGCAGCAACAAAAAGTTCTTCATGATAAGAACAACAAGAGATCAGAAAACAAGGAACATTCGAAACATAGACAATACACACAATCTACACATGATATTTACTTACACATTCCTCGCAAACAGCACAAAATTACTAACCTGGAGAGCATCCATACCAATACGTGGATTGTAGACTTTCATTTTGCAGAAACCCGGATCGATCACAAACAGAATACCGTCACGGGCAAAGAAGTCTCAGCTATATCGGCCACAATTGCACTTACCTCATGCCGGGCCAGGGGCACGTGAAAATTTTCGCTCTGTGATAAAGATTTCAACGTACTACTGACCTAATTCCATACCATCGAAAATTTTAAAAATGATGAAAGACTTTACCTGTAATGTCACTTGTGTATTGGATGTAGATTCGCGAAGCCAGCAAAAGGGAGGAGCTTACATCCAATTCTTCGAGTCGATTTCATCAGGCTGCAGTAACTCATGGTTAAACATGATACTATGGGGTAACTTCTGTGACAGACGAGTTTCGAATTCTAAGAGATTTAATTCTACTATGAAAATTGAGTTTACCTCAATGTCCTCCTGACCAGGCATAAAAATCAAAATATCTCCATCCATGCCACCAAGGTGAACAGTGATTGCTTGTTTGACGGCGGCATCCACATAATCTTCCACCTGCAATGCAGGAAATCTTTCCATCAAAAAAATTTGGCAGACGGAGGAAACAAAGTAATTGTGTACAAGAACCATTCAGAAGCAGAACAAAGAGATAACCCAAGGTAAAGGCGGTGAGCGGCCGCTTCAATACAAACTTGTTCAAATAAGATCTAGGCCTGTTTGTTTAATACGACTGGGTGGACAGGTAATTTAACAAATAAAATCATTAACCTCGTTAAAAGTCAGAATCTACAGCTATCAATGCAGAAATCAACGGGCAAGGAATGGATCCCATTTCTCGAATTCTGGGTAGTTTCCCATAGTTTTTTTTTTCACCCCAGCCGCTGACCACCTGTACCTGAACTTTAATGGGCTTCCCTCAAATCATAAACCTAACCTCAAATCGACCGATGAAGTTGTCTACATGTGCGAACCACTCGTCCCCTCTCCCTCATTCCTAATCATACTTAGAATTGAAACTTAATAACCGACGACAGACTGCTGCTATAGGACCATTCGAAGGGATGGACATGATTTATTCAGGCCAAAGCGAACTACTCTACTTCCGCTCAAGATCGATTGTAAATGCAAGAAATTCGAAAAAAAAATCGAAAACAAAAGCTGCCAAGATACCGGGAGCTCTCGCGTGAAAAATCTCCACGGGAAACGTACGGCCAGGTATCGTGAATGTTGGGCAGCTGCCTAAACAGAGAAGAAATCAACTACTAGGGTGAAAGAAATGGAAAGAACGCAACACAATTTATTTGATAAAAGTAGGACAAAAAACAAACCTCCAAAGAAATTTGCAAACTTTTCGGCATCCATTGTAGCGGATGTGACAATAAGGCGTAAATCGGAGCGTCGAGCAATCACATCTCGGAGTAGACCGAACAGAACGTCAGTATTGAGTGAACTGAATTGAAGTGCATCCTCACGATTACCAATAAATGATTTCTATCAAGAGTTTTGAATCGCTTGCTAGTGAAATCTGTTCACACAAATGACAAATTACATTACTATAAAATAAGATATGAATTTTCGTTCATAAGCTGAACTTGATCCTCAACAGGTTTTTGAAAACTGAAGGTGCAATGCTAGAATTGAAAAATACCGTTCGTGAGCTTCGTCCATGATAATAGCGCTGTACTGATCAAGATCGCCGTCACCCAGACATTCCCTGAGCAGGATACCATCTGTCATGTACTTTATCACAGTCTTCTCTGATGTACAATCTTCGAAACGAATTGCATATCCGACTTCTTGACCAAGCTAAATACGGAACTTATAGAACTTGTTCAAACTCATGGGCTAGAAAGTGCGAGGATACCTCGACATCCATTTCATCAGCTACACGCTTCGCTACACTCATAGCAGCAACTCGACGTGGTTGGGTGCAACCGATGATTCCTGAAAAAGACAAAAATAGAAGTGATTGACCGAATCGTTCCCTTTGAATCTGCCTTACATTGACGGTCATAAAGGCAGTCGGGCGCTCGTTTGAATTGCATAACATAGTAAAACCCCACGACGCCTTTTATGGATACACTGGCGCCGAAATAGTTGACAGAATGGATGCGAAATTGTGACGTCCCGCCACAGTTTGTGTATCGCAGATGTTCACAGAGGCTGCAGCCGTTCACAAGACGAGGCTACATTAAAGATTCTGTCCCACCACCAAATGGATGGCCAAACAGATGGTATCACTCACCAGTTACTAGTGGCCGGCTACAGCCTCGAATCGGTGGAGGTATCATGATCAACCTGGTTG